AAATTGACTACAACGTATTAGAAATGCATTATATATTTATATATTGCGGAAAAATCTGAATAGCTTAAGAAGAAGTAACTGAATAACTTGTTTGTTTGTTTTTTTTTGCAACTTCAACTGTATTGAAATCGAAGTCCCCTTTTTTTTTCTCACTAAACGATTTCATTTCAACTCACAAAATTTTTAGTAAGTGTTTTATTTTATAATATTTTATATATTTGAGCGTAAGAACCGCTAAATCATCGTGAGCTGTCAACAATAATTGAAGAGCGCGAATTGACTCTGTGGTAGATCTTGTTTGTTTGTTTGTAATTAATCACAAAGCTACACAATGGGCTATCTGTGCTCTGCCCACCACGGGTATCGAAACCCGGACTCTAGCGTTGTAAGTCCGCAGACATACCGCTGTAGATCTTACTCTCGTCAGTAGTTCGAAATTAGGGACGGTAACAGATGTTTGTTTGTTTGTTACGGATTTCGCGCAAAGCTACACGAGGGCTATCTGCGATAGCTGTCCCTAATGTAGTAGTGTAAGACTAGAGGGAAGGCAACTAGTCATCACCACCCACCGCAAACTCTTGGGCTACTCTTTTACCAACGAATAGTAGGATTGACCGTCACATTATAACGCCCTCACGGCTGAAAGGGCGAGCGTGTTTGGTGTGACGGGGATTCGAACCCGCGACCTACAGATTGCGAGTCGAGCGCCCTAACCACCTGGCCATGTCGGGCCCGGTAACAGATAGCTTTAGTAGTTTTGTTATAAATACAAAGCTATAAATACAGTATAGGAATATTTAACCACCCATCCAGAATAATGTTTTTTCAATTTTTATTTGTTTAAGTGCCAAAGCTGAAGAGTTTTAATTATTTCCATTACCAAGCTTTAGACTAAGTTTTAAATTTTTCACCGTTGTTTGTTTCCGAGAGATTCAAATTTTGGCTTGCTTACTTTTTTATAGCTGTTACAATAAACCATATTAGAACTAACACCAATAGATTACCTGATTTTTGTCGCACAATTAGAAGAAGGAACGTTTCTTGAAGGCGATGAACCTCTATAACGAACAACTTGATACCTTAGATTAGCACATTATTCTTTATTTCGGGGAAGTTACAAGATCAGTTGTTTACCTTTTGATTTACCATCATTTACCAAAACACAATACACTTCCAAAGTGAAATCCAAAACGTTGTAAAGTTTACTTTCTAGTTACTTGTGAAACAAAACTTTATATTCATGGTAAAGAGTTAATCCGTTATTTATAATTTGTCTCCTGTGCCTGTTAATGGTTAAAATATTCATTCCGCTCTACTTAGATCCTCTTATGGTGGTATACACTTCCATCCCACCCTCACTTAGATCCTTTTATGGTGATAAAACTTCCATCCCACCCTCACTTAGATTCTCTTATGGTAATAAGAAATTCCGCCCTGCTCTCACTTAAATCCTCTTATGGTAATAAAAACTTCCATCCCGCCCTCACGCAGATCCTCTTGTGATAATAAGAAATTCCATCCCGCTCTCACTTAGATCCTCTTATGGTAATAAAAACTTCCATCCCGCCCTCACGCAGTCCTCTTATGATAATAAACACTTCCAGTCCGCCCTCACTTAGATCCGATTATGGTAATAAACTATACCTTTTTATTGTTATTAGCTGTTAAGATGCAACTTTATGAGCCATTTTATAAGTTACACGCGTTTCTTTTGTAAAATTCCTGAACTTAAACTGAAAAAAAAATTGTGTATATGTAACACAAATGGTTCACAACGGTGCTTGTTATTTTGAAACAACATTTGAGAGTATACATAGACGATATGTAATGATCTCCACTTCTTTCTCGTTGCCATGGTTTCTAACTTTTATTGGATGCCTTGGAATGGCCATGGAATAGAGCCCAGGCGGCTGAATTGCCTATGAGGTGGCTTGTGGGAGGAAGATACACAAATACAGCGGTAGACCAACAGTAGCTTTAAAATGAAACAAAAACCATCGATTAAGTCTAGATGTTTTAGACTTATACTTGCCCTAAATTTCAGTGTAAACGTCTCAGTGCCTAAAATATGAAATAATCAATAAAATTCGCAACACTCATGTGCAGTTTTACTCTATTAAATAACGAAACTGTTATACCCCTGTCTTTAGCATTTGTTCACTTAAATCATTCAGACAGACTTACTTTAAATGTGCAGAAAGGATTGGATCACACGCTTCGTTGAAGTCTCTATCTTAGTAACTACGAAAACTCGTAAGTGAGCTGTTAAACGAATTATTGTATTTTCTGTTATCCTGGCTGGTTTACTGACTGTCTCTTTTCTTATTTCAGCTGGCTACCACCATTGATTATTCACCACAATTTTACACTGTTAGAACTATTCTGATTGGTTGAATTAAAGTAAAAGTTTATTTTGCCTACAGAGACTTTCTTTTGCTTTTTTTTTCATTATGTTGCCTTGCTTTTGAAATGGCGAGTTTTTTTATTTATTGTGTAATGTAAAACAAATTGATTCCTGCAGTGGAAACTGCGATCAGTGACTACATACTATTAAATGTTAATTTTCCGTGCAAAAGGCGTAAGAAAAGTTCCAGAGAAGTACTAAACTAAGCCTGTCTAAATGTTTAATAAAAAAAATCTAAATATTGTATCTCTGAAAGCTAAAAAAAAAATAAATCCAAATACTGTAACTCTGAAATTTAAAAAAAAAATCTAAATCAATTCCGGAAATCTCTGTAGAAAAACGAAAAGTGAAACCTAATGTGATTCAAACCCCGTATCTCTCATTATCTGTGTGTTTTCTCACCAGCTGACAAAAACACACAAATATATTTCGAAGAATATGCTTAACCTTCAAGTTGAGTGAAATCACCACATCCAGTTTAGCTGTAGCATGCTTCTTAGCTCGTCCCTGCTCCCCAGTGGCAACGCTAGAAACCGGGTTTCAATACCCGTGGAGGGCAGAGCACAGATAGCCCATTGTGCAGCTTTGTGCTTAACTTCAAACAACAACTTAGCTCGTACAGGTTACCTAGAAACTGATCTTTCAAAACTCTCTTACCAAAATTTCATAAAAGTATACTTCCTTGAGTCATATTTCCGCAAAACGAATTTAAAAAACAACAACAAAACAACGTCCATTGTAAATTCGTTTAAAGGCTTCAAACATGTTTTGTTCCGTTAGAGTCCCTAGAGATATGATAAAAAAAATTCGTGTAAGCAATATGTGACAGTTTTCAGACTCTGTTCTTATTTTTTATTTTTGCTTGAAGAAACTTCAAGCTAATTTCTAGAATATACTAAGCTAGATACTTCTGTGGCTTTTTTTAGGCTATTTTAACTTTTATTTTTCTCTACAAAAACCTTACGTGTTTTTGTTATCAAAAATCTGTGATCTTTATTTCAAGTTAATGATTTATGAATCTTTATACGTACAACATAAATATGTTAAAATACGTGGTTTGCTACAAATATAGTATTCAAACTGATAATCAAACAGAAAGACTGAAGTGAAACAACCGTGATGTTTACACTCTTTCCTCGAAGGATTAACTTAATCCAGTAGTTGTTACCTTGAGTGTCACTAAAATCAGTTTTTGTCTTCATGTTGTTGCAATGTTTGGTAAATGCACCAATTCGTTTAGATGCCGAACAATTCTGCTATAAGACCAAAACTCTACCTTGTCGACAACAACTTTTTATTTATTTATTTGCTCTGTATCTGTCTTTGTATAGTAGTATTCTGTAAGAATGGAATGCTAGCTATTTTGCCCGAGTGATGAATTTATCGGATTTTCACCTCTTCGCAACTTATTGCCAGTCCTTTGGAGAAGTTTTTTTTCGGAGAAGGCGATTGTAACTTTGTTTTAGCTAGGTGCTGTAACCAAACTGCGTACAGTTTATATTCGGGTGTATTTTCTATGAAAAAGGCACTCTCGTGTTGGTTTTTTAACACTGACAGACTAGTTCTTAAAAATTTACTTGTTAAATAATTACTGAAATATCCAAATGCTAACCTAACATTTAGTGTTTACAGTTTTTCTAAGCGCAGCAACTCAGAAAATGGGACGTATCACATTTCGTTCTGGTGTTTCTGTATGTAGGTATTGGTTTTAAATCCGTGGGATTTGTTTAATCCGTTTTAGAACCGTAGAATGAAATTTTACGCTTAAGATGATCATTTCTTATGTTTAACCCCGTATGTAGGTATTGGTTTTAAATCCGTGGGATTTGTTTAATCCGTTTTAGAACCGTAGAATGAAATTTTACGCTTAAGATGATCATTTCTTATGTTTAACCCCGTATGTAGGTATTGGGTTTAAATCCGTGGGATTTATTTAATCCGTTTTAGAACCGTAGAATGAAATTTTACGCTTAAGATGATCATTTCTTATGTTTAACCCCGTATGTAGGTATTGGTTTTAAATCCGTGAGATTTGTTTAATCCGTTTTAGAACCGTAGTATGAAATTTTACGCTTAAGATGATCATTTCTTATGTCTAACCAAGAGATTTACAATGTTTCAATAAAGATATGTTTTTCTACACCACACAGACAGAACACACGAAGCTATGTCTACGTATCTTCTCTTTCTTAACAAGAACACATAAATCTTGCTGTTCAATTTATTGAATCTTCTTAACCGTAGCTTCTTCATTTCTGTGGCTATAGTCATCAGTAAAGTTTCAGAAAAATGTTCTCTAGTGTATCGTTCCACAATAACGAATAAACATTATAGTCCTCAATCATTTTTCTAGTTTTTTCACTTAAACAAATATATAAGATAATATTATTATATGAGTTTTTGTAGCCTTCTTACATTAGTTTATCATGAGACTGTGAAAATGCACAATCTATGATAAAAAAAATATATATTTAAACAAACTTCGATTAAATTATTTGAATAATTAAACAAGAAATATGCAATATTGCAAACGCATAATTAGATGTTAGTTGATTCCTTTGCTGACACTTGACGAGCCATCTGATTGGTTCTTCAGACAGAGGTAGAGGTCAAGGCAGCAGCAGTGGAACAGGCAGCAGTGGCCGTTCTTACAGCACTCATAGCAGTTTGGAGCTCCTCACGGGAAGAAACTACGGTGGCGTCAGCGGTTCCGAAGGAGAGATGGAACGGGAAAACCGCTACGGGCAAGGAACTGGAAAGGGAAACAATGCCCTTATTCCACAAGGAAAACAGCCTCTTCAGTACCCAGCATACGCATCTCTTCCAAGAAAAGGTCCCCGCTCTGGGGCAGGATCTGTTCGGGAGCAGCAGCAACCAACAACGCACGTAGATCCTGTACTGAATCCCCCAGAAACCGCTAATCCAATAGGAAGATTATCTTTCTCGCTGCGTAGGGGGGCTTCCTCCTCTTCAACATCTGATAATAACTCCGATGCTACGTACACAGATTCAGAACCTATGACCCGCCGAAGAGGAAGGCTAGAAGGCAAAAATGGTGAGTTCTGTGAAAAAACACGTAAATACACTAAATATCTATGCATAATTGAGAGCATTATTTCCGGCTTACACCATTCTTATGCTACTCGGTGTCCTAAAGCCTATTAACGATGTACCCTGTCTCTCTATTTATCGATCTAAATTTTTCCATCCGTTTTAATGTAAAGATTTTCAGCTATACCTACTTATTCTTGTCTTTTGTTTAATGCATGAGTTTAGACTTTCATGAAGAATGTAAACGAAATAGATAAATAATGAAGTTTACGTTGGCATAGCGACCTGAATAAATAACTAATTTCCTGGACTTCCCAAGGGAAGTGGCACGCTGAAGTTGTATTTGTATAGGGACGAACATATATGCAAAACAGAATCATCTTAGATATTCCATCAGGAAATCTGATTTGAAAACGTTTTTCTTTTTTGTTTTGTCTTAAAACCATACAGAATATATTGAGTGTATGTGTATGTTTCCGTCTTTGTCGAATTCTAATAAGATATTGATTAAATAAATATTTTTAGTAATGTTTTAAAACACATTTTGTATCATTTTCTTTATCGACAGTACTGTGTATACAATTATTTCGTGTTGAATTTTCATGATCAAATAATGTGCATTAGTCATAAGTCTGTATATTAAACATGAATAGTTTTATATGTGTGATAAATTTTTGCCCGATTTCTAAACTGAAACGTGCTTATGTTTACTACGTTAAATATAATTATAAAAACTAGATGTCCTACACATTAAAAAATATATTTATTCTTTGTAGTTTGGTAATTATAGTATAGTTCTCTTGTTAAATATCTTTAGCTATTTAAAAAAAAGGTCTAAAAGGTGTGTACATGTAGGCTAGTCTAGTTAAAAACTGAAATCGATTGAACAAACCACATAATGACAAAAATCTTGGCAAGAACTCAAATCCTGATAAAGATTTTTTTCACTGGACATGATTCGTAGACATTAGTTGATCTGAAGAAATTAGTCCTAAAGTTTTTAGTATTCTAATATATATATATTATTTTAAATAATCTTTGAGAGCACTTTTTCATTTTTTTCTTTGTGTTTTTCTATAACTTCTCACTTCGCGGTAGGAGAAAGGATATTTGTTTAATATCCTCCAAGGCTCTAAATAAAGTATATGAATTTTGTGAAAGACTTTTAAAGATATAAATACACAAGGTTTCACAATTAGCTTGATAAGGATTGTTCAGTTATTAATCCCGATCATATGCTGTTCCTTGAGTAAACATCTTCATCACACAGGGAAGTTCATTCTACATGTTGTAAAATATGAACATCTAGTAACTGAGACACCAACAGCAGCTGTTGGTTCTGTTCGAAACATCTTAGTGTATCAGAAGTGATATGTTGTTTATGTAAATATCAGTCGTGAAAGCAAAATTATAATCATGTCGAAATTGTGAACTCCTATTATCGAAGATAAACTTAAAAACTCTAACAATCGATGTTTAGACCATTCTGTGAACATTGACAACAGACGAGAAAATATTTTAATGAAATGCTAATTGCAAAAGAAAAACTGTTTTTAAGTTTATTGCAAGCATGTTTTCAAAATTACAATGTAGTTACTGAGTTCAATCTCTTACATAGGAAGATCTTACGTCTTGCACCAATATGCCTCTAGAGCGACTCTTTGTCGTTCCACACACGAACCATTGATCTATGTAATAGATCAGTAACACGAATGTACTGCATTTCAGTTAAGCCTTTTTCCAGTTACGTTTTTCAACTTGTCATTAGCTTTATAACTTTTTCTTGTGAGTAGTTCATCAGAACAAGATGAACGTTTGTGTAAAGTAGTTGATTAGCGAACACTAATGACAAAAGTAAAACACGTATCTTTCTAGTGGTTCATCAAAGTTCTTCAAAATATTTTGAAGATAAAAACAAGTGACGGAAGTATATTTGTGTAATAATTTATTTCATCGCCACCAGTGATGCTTTAAAAAAAAAACTCGTAAAATTTTCAAATATTATTATTTTTTAATAGTTAAAAAAAAACCTCTTTGGGATTTCATTATGCTTATAATTTATAAAAGCAATATATTGATTTGTTTGTTTTAGCTTTATGAAAAGTTCACTTTACCATAAGCAATATAAAAAAAAACTTTTTGTCATAACTTGATTAAAAATATTCAAAATGATCACACAGATAATTTTGAAATTGGTGGGGATCTATTTGCTTTAAATATTTGAGATCGTCACCAGAAGCAGTAGAAGTAATAAAATTTTGAAATGCTTAATCCTATACGTCTTGACAATTTCATTAACTTTTCTTCTTTAAGATACTGTCGTTATTTATATTGGTATAGGACGAAAACTCTAATAAAACCAATGTCAACATTCAGTCTTATAACGAAAGCTATATTAGTTAGAGTATTTCGACTTTGTAGTAACTACATAGCTATCAGCCAAGTTTTATCCTGCTTTCACGGGTTATTCATACCAGGGGTTGGCAAAATAAATAAACGGCTAGGCGGATTTTTCTTCGTAATATTTATTCAGGCTGTTTTTCAATATCATAAAGTACGCATTGCGTTGACTTTAAATGATGAAAAAACTGCCTACTGACAGTCAACATTTAAATAGTGGTTATGAAAGCTGGTTGTGATGATAACGTTGAAAATCTCACTTTAAATCAAATGAGATATTATATGAAATGATTTTGAGTCGCTTAAAAAAAAAAGACTCAGATAATCCAGTTTTGGCGTGTTTTATATTATCTTTGTAGTACGGGGATTTAGAAAAAAATATATTCATATACATTTTTAAACTATGGGAACTTGTTAACCACTTCTTTGCATATATTATTTACATAGAACAGATATAATTTTGTTTGAATATTACGAAACCTAGATTTTTTAAATCATCCCTTTGAATGCCTTTCTTGAAAATCGAAATTAACGTATTACTATGTTTGACACTTGACATCGGTAAGTTAGGGTTCGATTATCGTTAACTGTTATATTTCAACATTGCTATACAAAGTGTATAAATATAAGTACTATGAAACTGATCATTTTTAGATAGTATAAACGGTAAACCAATGAAAAAAAAGATAAAATTCGAAGTTTCACGCTTGTAGCAAAAATAGTTTAAAGAACATCTAAATTGATGGCAAAATACTAATTACACACAATAATAATTTAATTTATCATCTCAACCGTTCACTAAGGAAAAAAACAGCTTTAGAACGTTTTCAACTAAATTCCATAAATATGATACAGTTTGGTGGTGGTGTTTTTGCTATACACAAATAGTTTTTGACACCTACAACGTAACGTAGAGTACCGTAAAAAGTAATTTCACCGCAAGTTATAAAACTTCTTATATCGAGAAAAGAATTGGAAATATGGTTGAAAAGCATTTAAAAAATAAATAATTATTGATTTTTTAAACTAAAAAAATAATATTTTCAAGCTCTAATTTTACATAAATGAATAAGGGGCATAAAGTCGTTTGCATTTCAATAAAAACAAAAAAAATTAACTTAGCATTGTCAGCTTCCATATTGGTAAAAAGTTAGGTACCCGGTGCGTCGTTAGGTACCCTGTGCGTCATCACTTCTTCGTTTGGTGCGTATTTTTAACGAATAAATGCAGGTTTAGATAATTTTCAACTACTGATTGTCATTGGTACGAGGAAATACACCCGTCAGTATTTCTATAAGGTAATGTATAGCGGGCTCGAGTGTAACTACTGAAAACCAGTGTTCTTTTATTATTATTTTTAAGTCTCAACCAATCAATAGGTGAGATATTACTGTTAGACTATAAATATCTATTGCTGACGTCATACAACGACGAATTTTGTAAATGTTTCTTCGCAACTCGTTCCAAAACTTAAAAAAAACAAAAAAAACGGACCAAACAAGTGTATGGGAATTGACATTTTCTAAAATCTAACCTCAATGAAGGTCAAAAGTTCAAATATAAGATTTCAATCTCGCATTCTCCTTTCGGAAGTTATTAGCCTTAGATATCAATCTTTTCAATGAGATCATCATTAATGGCAAGCCTATATAAAACTATGTTATATTAATTAAAAGTGCTATGATGTTACTGAATCTGAAAAAAATAAAAAAAGTGCTAAATGATTTAATGTTATTTACTTTATTCATCAAAATGGTGTATTGAATGATAACGTGAGTCCTCGTGACCTTAATTCTTTTGTTTGTGACTTACTCTAAACGAATTAGCAAAAACTCATTGGTTTCAATGTAAGAGAATGATAAACTGTAAATCTTGTGGACTACATTTCGAGTGAAATGCTTTTTAGATAATTAATTGAAATAATGGCTTTGCATCTGAACTCCTGTTGTGAAGACGGCATACTGTGTATGTATCGCAGAATGAAATAAGCCCATAATTGATGATATACCTACAGAGCGGTTCTATAATAACGTAGTGCGTTAAAGATTACATGTTTATTAATCTACAGAAAGTAGACGCCGCTGTGGTTAATTCGCTAAAAGTAACAGAGTATAGTGGTCATGCGCAGTACGTCGCTTGGAAATTTGTAACGTACAAGATGAATATATTTTTGGTGCCTTTACTGGATTATCGTACATAGAGAGATAATTAATCTATGCGTCGCCGCTCATATCTTTAGACATTTCTAACATAATAAATATACGGTTGTTTTACTGAAATGTATTCTTTATTCTCCCTACAGATCTATTGAAAAGTTAGGCTACTCGCAACTGGCTAAACTCTCGGTAGAGTTCACCTTTTAGTATTCATGCAATTTGTTGACTAACGAGAATACAAGTATGGAAAATGTGATTAAATGGGATACAATGTAAAAATCTGTGAATGTCTTTAAAATTCTTCGTATTAAAAAAAACCTCAGTTCACGTTATTCGAGCCCTGAATAATAAAGACTATATTTTCATTTGTCGTATGGCATCGACAGCGGTGTTCACCTAAGATTTAACGTTCAATAACAGTAATTCAGCTTAATCTCTATCGTTCAGATTTAGAGTGTAATAATACTGTCAAAACAGTTAAACGTTTCTTGCTATAAACAAAGTTTGTCATTTGGCTGTGAGAGGACTTATAGTAAAATGACATGTGTTATTACAAGTGATTTAATGTTATAATTACGCATTTGTTTTCATTTAAATAAGAAACTTAAGGCATAAATAAGGCAAGTGTTTTTTCCTGTCACATATTCTTACAAAAAAGAGGCTAAAACGAATGAGAAAAATTTATTAAAATTTTTCAATAAAATGAGAATCTTCAAAAAAGAAAAAAGAAGCTATATTACTGGAGACCACCAAAACTGTTTTTATATACAGTGTTGAATCAGAGATATCTGTCCGGAATGAAAACCATTAGCTTAAGTTACACGTAGGAAGACGGACATATAGTTCTTCATACAGCTCTAAGTGAACTACACTTATTCATACAACTCTAAGTGAACTACTCTAAGTCATACAACTGTAAGTGAAGTACACTCATTCATACAACTGTAAGTGAAGTACACTCATTCACACAACTGTAAGTGAAGTACACTCATTCATACAACTCTGAGTGAACTACACTAAGTCATACAACTCTTAGTGAATTACACTCATTCATACAACTCTGAGTGAACTACACTAAGTCATACAACTGTAAGTAAAGTACACTCATTCACACAACTGTAAGTGAACTACACTAAGTCATACAACTGTAAGTGAAGTACACTCATTCATACAACTCTAAGTGAACTACACTCATTCGTACAACTCTGAGTGAACTACACTCATTCATACGACTCTAAGTGAACTACACCCAGTGTTCCATTTATATAACATAGCCATAGTTCGGAGCAACTTAACTCTTGATATTAAATCGTGTGTATATAACTCAACTACTAAATTTTCAACATGGGGGAGGAGGAGGACGGTATTGATTTGTTTGGAGAATATTTACCAACTTTCAGGCGGACAGTGTTTGAGCTCTATTGAAAATAATGCAAATAACCCACGAGCAAATTATTCTAAGCATGATATGTAATTAATTTAAACAGCCTGGTAACAATTATCCACTTAAACTTTTATTACTTATAACATTATTTATTTGCACAAATTCAGTAAAGTTTCTTGGATGAGAAACGACAAAGTTATTGCTCTCTCGGTATTTAATGGAGAGCGCCGCCTGCTTGTACGTATGATTGTATTCGGATATTCGTGCAAGGCTACTCAAACGCTATCAGCTCTAGCCTTCCCTAAATTGGAACTGATAAGCTAGAGGGACGGAAGTCAGTCATTAGTTTGTTTTTGTTTGTTTCTTTGTTGAATCTCGGGTAAAGGTACTTGAGGGCTATCTATTGAGGGCTATTGATAGACTAGAAGGAAAAAACCAACTCTTGGGCTAATATTATATAACCGAATGGTGGTATTTCACCATGACTTTTATAACATACTCATGGTAGCAAAGTAGGGAATGTTATTATTTTCATTTTTTGTTGTTGTTATGGCGGGACGTGAACTTTGGACCTACAGATCCATAGTGCGGCACGCTAATAACTGGACGAAGCTCGGCCTTTGCTGTCTGCAATAATAAAAGTAATAAAATTGTAACACACTAGACTAAAAATATGAAAATAAATGGTTTATTACAGACAGTTTTAGCAACATGGCTGCCTGTCACTTTAGTTTATTCGTGGTTGTTTTTTATAGGCAGTTTTGCAACATTGCTGCCTACCACTTTAGTTTATTGATTGATGGTTCATTACAAATACTTTTAGAAACATGGCTGGCTATTATTTTAGTTTATTCGTTGATGGTTCATTTTACACAGTTTTAGGAACATGGCTGCCTATCACTTTAATTTATTCATGGGTGGTTCATTACAGACAGTTTTAGCAACATGGCTGCTATCACTTTAGTTTATTCAACGATGGTTCATTACAGACAGTTTTAACAACATTTATGCCTATTACTTTAGTTTATTCAAGAATGGTTCATTATAGACATTTTTGGGGAATATGGCTTCCTGTTTCTTTAGTTTCATTATAAACAGTTTTAGCAACATGGCTGCCTATCACTTTATGTATTCACGATGGTTCATTATAGACAGTTTTAGCAACATGGCTGCTTATCACTTTAATGTATTCAAGGATGGTTTATTACAGACAGTTTTAGCAACATATCAATGTATCACTTTAGTTTATTCAAGAATGGCTGCCTATCACTTTAGGTTATTTATGGATGATTCATTATGGATAGTTTTAGCAACATAGCTTCCTTTCATTTTAGTTTATTCGTGGATGTTTACTTATAGACAATTTTAGCAACACAGCTGCCTATTATTTTAGTTTATCCATTCATGGTTCATTTTAGATAGTTTTAGCAACATGGCTGCATATCACTTTATTATTTTCAATTATGGTTCATTACAGAGAGTTTTAGCAACATGGCTTCGTATCAATTTAGTTTATTCAACGATGGTTCATTACAGACAGTTTTAACAACATTTATGCCTATTACTTTAGTTTATCCAATGATGGTTCATTATAGACAGCTTTACCAACATGGCTGCCTATCGCTTTAGTTTATTCATTGTTTGTTGAACATAGATAGTTTTAGCATCATGGCTGCCTATCAGTTTAGTTTATTGAATGATGGTTCATTACAGACAGTTTTAGCAACATAACTGCCTAGCACTTTAGTTTATTCATGAATGGTTCATTATAGATAGTTTTTAACAACATAGCTGTCTATCACTTTAGTTTGTTAATGGGGTCTTTCGAATTGAATGCAAAACAATAAAATTCTTTAAAAAATAGTATTTATAGTAATTGGTTCGACTTGCTTGTACAAATATATTATGAACGATAGTTCGTAAATGGCCTAGCCAAATACGATAATTGTAGAATGGCTTGAATAGATACAATAATTTTTAAATTTCTCTGACACATAAATTATTTCTAAAATATCTCGCGAGATATGACTAGTAAAGTGTGTCGGACAAATACGGTTCTTTCAAAATGTCTCGTGTGCATACATTACCTTTAAAATGTCTCGTGTAAATAAATTAACGTTTAAAATGTCTCGGACAGATACATTACTTGTAAAATATCTTGGGTAGATAGTGCTGTTATGACGACCACTAAGAAAAATATCGGTGACAAAGTATTACATGCCATAAAAATGTTGGGCTAGAGTAAATTATTTGATTTTATTATTCATTAAAATGTCGTTTGCACAGTTTACTATTATTAGAATTATAATCGGTTCCATTACTTGTAATTCCCAGATCCATTTTTTTCCCTCTGTCCCTCGTGGCTTTTCACCGAATAAGTTTGGCGATTTGAAATTCAATTTAGAAAGCAGGATCCGCTAATGCACAGAGGCGTTCCTCACCTGAAAATTTTGAGACGAAGATATCAGTCTGACGACGTGTTTAATGGTATACAAAATAGCAAACACCATAGAACTGGGTGTGTGCTTTATAACATACTGCTTGCTAAAGGATTTCACAAGCTCTGTACGTTCACTGGTATAACAGGGAAACAAAGCGGAGCCCTGACACCTTTGTAGTCCACTTTCCATAAACTTCTTACAATTACTCACTCCCTGTAAATACAAAGAAAGTGTAAGCCTTGTATAAAGTGTCGAAAACAACGACATGCTGCATAGCTCACGTAGTCTGCGTAGAAGAGAATACAATAGTACCGTCATGCCGTATTTACACAGTGCAGCGTTTTAATTTTTCTCCTACGTGTTTTCGGACAGTGTATTATAAGAGAGCTATTGATCGTTGCTACATAACTATATATACACAATCTAGCTGTGCATAATAGGTCTTCCACTTATCAGGTTTCCTTTTGCCCTTAGCCTCCAGTTCGTTATTGCTGCTTTAGCACGATGTACATGCCATTATTTTGAGTCGTAAAATTTCTTTTTCTTGTTAACACATCCATCATTAATGAGAAACGTACTTTTTAAACCTAAAAATGGACGTGGGATGGTACGAGGGTAAAAGGGGGATATCGGGTATATTGGGGACAGTTATAAAACTTACTCTCATTCCACAGGCTTTGTATGTAGCGAGATGGAAAACAAATCTAGAGCAATGGCATAGAAGACATAAAATCACGACGAAAGTTCATTAGTCCATTTGATTTAATGGAAGACATAAAATCACGAAAGTTCATTAGTCCATTTGATTTCATGGAAGACATAAAATCACGAAAGTTCATTAGTTCATTTGATTTCATGGAAGACATAAAATAACGAAAGTTCATTAGTCCATTTGATTTAATGGAAGACATAAAATAACGAAAGTTCATTAGTCCATTTGATTTCATGGAAGACATAAAATCACGAAAGTTCATTAGTCCATTTGATTTACTGAAAGACATAAAATAACGAAAGTTCATTAGTCCATTTGATTTCATGGAAGACATAAAATCACGAAAGTTCATTAGTCCATTTGATTTACTGAAAGACATAAAATAACGAAAGTTCATTAGTCCATTTGATTTAATGGAAGACATAAAATAACGAAAGCTCATTAGTCCATTTGATTTAATGGAAGACATAAAATAACAAAAGTTAATTAGTCCATTTGATTCCATTGAATTAACGACTACTCTTCCTAATAATATTTTGAATGAAAATAGAAAATCGATCTTATTTATTTGCTATTTCTAGTTGATAATTTTTTCTTGGTGTCATATATTCTGTAATTCTATTACAGAACAAGAATGTAATAAGAATTAAAAAACATATATTATTCACTAGTATTCCGTGACAGTCCACCGGAGCCAGCGCCCCCTGTTATTCCACCCCGAAGCATTCCATCAGTTCACCATGTGGAAGCACTTGGTATGAGACCCCGACTCGGATATCTTGAGAGTGAATGTGAATCGGAACCCCCGTACTTGCCAACCATGCTTCCATCGGGCTTGAGTGCCTACACATCTCAAGGTATGAATAAACATAAACATATCGTATTTTAAAGAAGAATCTATCTTCCCCCAGCTGTTCCTTTTGGTTCGTGCCAAGCATTAATAACCAGTTTTAAGTGTGTACACAATTTTGAATACAGGGAGTACAAATACGTTGACGTAAATGCGATAAATGTCTGTACCATAGCAGTACAACTACTTAAACTTGTCAATGTAACGCTTACTAAGTGAAAATACAGTTAATACTAACTATTCTTAAGGCCCTGAAGGTGGCGCGTGAACTTATTTTACGAAGCAACTTTACTGACTATTAATCGATTAATGTTTGATTTTGAAAACCTTACAACACTCAGCAGTACAATCTATATAAGTATTAACGTTTCGATTAACAAAAATCAATGTAAGTGAATCTTCCTAATAGATTAAAAACTAATTAATTCAAAGAGGCATTACTTAAACGTGTATTCATGATAAATTGAAAGTATTCAATTATTAAAATAATGAAACGTTTTTTGCTAATTTTATTAACTGTAAAACATTTTTAATTTGTTTCAACTTAGTTTGTTTAATTAAAAACAGTTTCAGTAATACCGTCTTTACAGTTTTTCGCGAAAGTCCTATGGATTGAACATCACATTTAAATATTTTGACACTCTCATCCGTACAATATATTTTATTTTAACAGCGCATTTTAGGTACCACATGATTTCCAGACTTTCAGCATTCGTTAAGAATGTTTCATAAAATCTATACAATTGGTTCAAGAATCATAGAAATTTCCAAAAGAAAAAAAAACACATCAGTATAATAGATTTTATATCTCAAAGACAATATTATTGTATTTCTTACTGATGTTTCAATCCTAAACCTAAAACTGTGTTAAACTAAAATCGTTTTACATTGAATTCTAAAGTGCACTGTTTAATGAAGATCCTAGTCCCAAAATGCCATCAAGATAAAGAAATTTTGTTTTTTTTTGGCCCGGCATGGCT